TTTGTATTTTTAGTAGAGATGGGGTTTTACCATGTTGGCCAGGCTGGTCGAACTCCTGACCTCAAGTGATCCACCTGTCTCGGCCTCCCACAGTGCTGGGATTACAGATGTGAGCCACCATGCCCAGCTGAAGACTTCTATCTACTTCGAAAGCTGACTGGTCACACAGCCCAGCAAATGAGGGCGGGATGTGGGATGTGCCCGGTTCCAATCCCAGCCCTTTGCTGTTCCCATGGGATGTGGGGACAGGCCTTACCCAAGCGTCCAGCATCCTGCAGCTGAATCTTGAGCATTTCCATGGGACAGGTCACCACCACCTGGCACATCCCAGCGCCACACCCGGCAAGCATCTCCATCTTCAGGTTCCGCTGCATCCTATGGAAACAGGCGTCAGGCTCCTTCAGCTGCAGGCCCGCGGGCCCATCCTGGTGCAGCTGCCCTCCTGTGAGAGGGGGACTTTCCCTGGATGGCACCCGTGGCTGCCACTCACCCAGCTGTGTAAGTCATCAGCTGGCCCTCAGGTGTGGTCTCTGTACCAACAGGAGACTGAGTTTAAAACAAAGCCTGCTAGAGTGGCAGCACCGCACGGAAGCTGAAAAGTGACAAAGAATCTATCCAGGCCAGGCGCTGTCCCTGATCCCTTCAGGAACATCACTGGGCAACATGAGTCACAGAGAGAGCTAGAAAGGGTTTGGGGGCTGATTTGTTTCTCCTGAGGTGAGGTCTCGCTCTGTCACCCAGGCTGAAGTGCAGTGGAGCCAACGTGCCTCACTGCAGCCTCCACCTCCTGGGCTCAAGCGATCCTCCTTCTTCAGCCTTCTAAAGTGCTGGGATTACAGGCATGAGCCACTGCACCCAGTTTGGTGGCTGAGTTTTAAAAATGTATTGGCTAATTAATGGATTTGTCTGTATAAATATTCTTTTTTTTTTTTTTTAAAGGTGCGGTTTCTCCACGATGGCCAGGCTGGTCTTGAACTCCTGACCTCAGGTGATCCACCCACCTCGGCCTCCCAAAGTGCTAGGATTACAGGTGTGAGCCACCGCACCCGGCCCTGTATAAATATTCTATATGTTCTCTATGTTATCTGTCACACTTCCAAAGTCACCAGCTCATTCTCTCCCTTCATGCTGCAACAGCCCAAACACACCAGCCCTCAGACATATGTATGCATGCAGGTAGGTAAACTGAGGCACATTTGAAATCTTTTTCCTGCCATCTCTCCCAAAAAACACACAGGGAAGGATCCAACCCCATACCCATCTTCCATGAGCAGCTGCCGGAAGAAGTCATTGGCCGCCAGCTTGATGGCCTTCTCTGGAGTGACCAAAGTGAGGTTCACTGCAGCCCCTGGAAGTGAAGGACAAGATGCCGAGTCAAGGCGCTCCCCGAAACAACAGTTCCCTGGGTCTGCCCCTCAGTCCTAGGCAGGCCAGTCTCGGAGTGAAGGGCATCAGGGCCGCGCAGGACTCCTGGGCCTATTTCACGGAAACAGCTTTCCATTCCCGCTCCCTGCCACATTCTCCTCTTTGTATGCATTTTTCCTATGGACTCCTCAGTCCGGTTATCAGGAAGCAAGCCATTTGACTTTTGTCGGTGCTGGTGGGGTCGAGTAACAGGCCCAGGCGCCGGGATTGCGGTTCCGCTCCTCTGTGCCGCACAGCCAGTCCCAGTGGCTGCTGGCTCCAGGCTCTGAGGGGTTTGTGTTTTGCTTCTCGGGGGCACAAGCATATCAGCTCCTACTCAACTCCAGCTTTGGATCCACTGTCCAAGGCAGCCTCAGGGCTGGGGACCCCGCCGGGACCGCAGCAGCGCTGGACCGTGCTGTGTCACCCAGGACTGGCCAGGAGCTCAACCCCCTTCGCTCAGTCCCTTTCAGCCCCTCCCTCTTCGCTCCTAGCCAGGCAGAGAGAGGCGGACAGCGGAGGGGACAGGAGAGGGGCAGGCAGGTAGGGTGGGCTCTTAGTGAGGCGGGGGCGAGGGTGTGCTCTGGGGGTCTCGGGAAGTCTTACCAGGACCCAGAGCTGCCTCTGTCTCCACCCAAGAGCGCAGAGGCTCATCAGGAGGGAACCCCTGGCCGCCCTGACCCCATTCCGGCAGTCCCGGGACAGAAGGAACACCAGTTCCCCGCGTGCCCTCCGCTCACACCTGCTGCCCAGCCTCCCCGGGGTTCTGAGAAGCCCACCTCGGTACATGCCGAAGAAGCCCTCCGCCCGCGCTGTCTTCATCAAGCAGTCGATCCTGGAGGCGGAGGCCAGAGGAGGAGTGGGCGCGCAGCAAGCCTCCCAACCCCTCCGGGCCCTGACCCTGCCGGCACCTCCCGGAGAGCGGCGCCCCAGCCCCGCGGTCACCGCTCAGCCCGGGGACTGGAGGGAAGGGCCCGGCCCCCCGCCCCCGGCCCCCGGCCCCCCAGCCCCCGGCCCCCGGCCCCCGGCCCCCAGCCCCGCCCTGCCCCCGCTCCTGCCTCCGTCCCTCCCGGCCCCGCTCCCGCCCCTCCCGCCCCCACTCCTGCCCTGCCCCCGCCCCTCCTGCGGGCGCCCCTCCTGGCCCCGCTCCCGCCCCGCCCCTCCCGGCCCCGGCCCCGCCCCCGCCCCCCACCCTCGCCCGCCGGCACCTACATTCCTTTGTACATGGCTTTCCCATGCTGGTTCTGCAGCCGAGTCTTGGCCAGGTCGACGGGGAACACGCAGGTCACCCCCACGAGCCCTGCCACGCCTCCGTTGATGAGTTTGGCTGTGATGCTGGGCACGGGGAGGAGAGAGGCAGAGGGAGCGGCGGGTCAGGGAGGGGGGGCAGCCAGGAACGGGCAGGGCGCAGAGAGCGGGCAGCCCCAGCCCGCAGACGTCCAGAGACCCTCCCCAGCCTCCCTGGCGAGGCTCCGGCCCACGCAGGCGCCCACGCTCACCAGGGCTGAGGCATCGTGCTGCCACCCGGGCCGTCCCGGAGCTGGGACCTGCAGGGGCTTCTGGGAGGAGCCCGGCTCTGCCCCCCGGGCCCACCGGGGCACCGCTCGCCCGGCGCGGGCTCCTCCGCGGCTGCAGCCACGTGTGCAGCGCTCACACAACCTGGCTGAGGGTCAGGCTGCTGCGACCCGCCTCTCTGGGCCTGTGATCCCCTGGAGCTCACTGCAGGGTTGCGGAGGACTGTGGAGACCGTGCCTGGGGAGAATGCCCGCTACTGTTCACAGTAAGAGAACAGGATCTTCCCACAGCGAGGGCTTCCCGTCGGTCAGCCCGTGCACGGTTTACAGAACAGGCCCCACCCGGCTAGGTACAGGAGCTTTGGAAGACGGGAAAGAGCAAAGCTTCCTCGGACTTCTTGGTACCCCCTAAGCTTTTCCTAGCTTTCAGGCCGGAGGCGGACTGAGCACATTTGGAGATGGATTTACCCGGAAGTGGTAAGAGCGGATTACTGTGGGCCTTTCACAAAGGAAGAAACTTGGGACAATAAAGAGAACTGTGGACTAAATTTTGCAGTCAGAGGAGATGAACTCAAATCATATTGAACAATAATGTGCATGTGCACAGATGCCTGTGTGTATATGTTTGCCCCAGTGGACGTAGCGCAGCTGTTATTTGGGGGACAGGGGTCTCGCTCGCTCTTCCCTAGGACTCAGCCTGTTCTTTAGAAACCTAGATGTGCTGTCATCACAGTGACTCTTCCCAGGCCCAGGGCCCAGGGCCTCAGGCTGCCCCAGCCGAGCTCACCTCAGATCCTGGTGGGTCATTCTGCAGGGACTGGGGATCCCGGGACACGCGGGTTTTGAGCGCAGCCTGGCCCGAGCCGCCTTCCTGGCAAGTCACGACCTCCCTGGGCTGCAGCTTCCTCCTCTGCAAAGTAGTCAGAGCGACGCCCACCTCACAGATGGGCGAGGACACACATCACTAGTGGATTCATGCTGCCCGCTAGCCCCACTCTTTCCCCTTCCTAAACCTTTTGGACTTTGGGATTCAAATCAGAATCCGGGAACTTTTGGACTCTGGGATCAGATAAGAGGGAAGTGGAATGAAAGAGAAGGATATGGCCCGCTGAGGCTGGAGGAGAGGCTGTCTAGGGGCATTCTGGGCAGAGCGATGGGGGTGGTGCCGGAGGGAGCGAATGGGCTGGGAAAAGATTTTAAGGGGAGTCGCTACAGACTAGGTATCTCCTCATGGTGTCCAGAACTGCAACAAAATACTTAAAATACTTAAGAGGGCCGGCAGGGTGGCTCACACCTGTCATTTTAGCACTCTGGGAGGCTGAGGTGGGTTGACTACCTGAGCTCAGGAGTTCGAGACCAGCCTGGGCAACACAGTGAAACCCTGTCTCCACTAAAGTACAAAAGAAGTTAGCCAGGCGTGGCGGCATGAGCCTGTAATTCCTGCCACTCGGGAGGTGGAGGCAGAGCGTACACTGAGCTGATGAAGCCGCTGCACTCCAGCCTGGGCGACAGAGCGAGACTCTGTTCCTTAAACAAACAGAAAACTTCAGATGCTCTACAGTTACTTTTTGGCTATTAAACTGTGTTTCCTGAACTTCATGTGATCCTGTTGAGAAACCAAAGTACATTATATTCCTAATTGACAGTGCTCAGGAACTGGAAGCTACCACAATTACGGCAGCTTCTGAGGAGGATGGCCATTTTTTTTCTTTTTTTGAGATGTAGTTTCATTCTTGTTGCCCAGGCTGGAGTATAATGGTGCAATTTCAGCTCACCGCCACGTTCTCCTGCCTCAGTCTCCCTAGTAGCTGGGATTACAGGCATGTGCCACCACACCTGGCTAATTTTTTTGTATTTTTAGTAGAGACGGGGTTTCTCCATGTTGATCAGGCTGGTCTTGAACTCCTGACCTCAGGTGATCCTCCTACCTTGGCATCCCAAAGTGCTGGGATTCCAGACGTGAGCCACTGTGCCTGGACAGAGTAGGCCTGCTTTAAACCCAGAGGGGAGGTGTCAGGAACTCCCCTGCACTCCTCACTGACTCCAGGCTGCCAGCAATTCTTTCTTGTCTCCAGCTATTTTGTTTTGGGTAAGAAAAGAAAAGGGGGATGGGGGAGACATCATTCTTTCTCTTGGTGCCACATTAATCCATTCAGGAAGGCATTCACTGAGTGCTGGGCACTGCTCCAGGTCTGGTGATACCGTAGTGAACAAAGACACATTCTGGTTCTCAAGGACTTAAGTTTGGCCGGGTGCAGTGGCTCACGCTGGTAATCCCAGCACTTTGGGAGGCTGAGGCAGGTGGATCGCTTGAGCCCAGGAGTTCAAGACCACCCTGAGCAACATAGTGAAACCCCATTTCTACAAAAATACAAAAAATTAGCTAGCTGTGGTGACCCAGCTACTCAGGAGGCCAGGATGGGAGGACTGTTTAAGCCCAGGAGGTGGAGGTTGCAGTGAGACAAGATCACACTACTACACTCCAGCCTGGGCAACAGAGCGAAACAAAATCCTATGCCAAAGAAAGAAAGAAAGAGAGAGAGAGAGAG